GGATTAACAAAATACAAACAAAACAAAACAAAAACAAAACAAAACAAAACAAAAAACAAAAAAAAAAAAAAAAAAAAAAAAAAAAAAATAACCGTACGGACTCGCCGATTTACTGTTCGGACTCGCCGATTCCGTACAGTGAATCGGCGATTCACTGTACAGAATCGTCCGGTTCTCTCTAGAACCGGACGATTTCCGATTTTTTAGGCGATCCGGTCCCCTTTTCACGATTTCCGAGTCGAACCGGGCGAGTCCGGTCCGACTCGGCGTTTTTTAAAACACTGCTTATAACAATTACATGCATGTGACCTGCACATGTTGCTGCCTATAAAGGACATTATTGATCAAGGAAATGGCATGGCTATATGGCATATGTGGAAAAGGGAGATATTTTTAAACCCTATTTAAGTGCTTTGTAGCAATGATTCTGATTATTTGAATTTATGCAAATAAAACCACATATCTAAAATTTTTAGGGGTTTCATGTTTGATGTGTATGAGCATGTGAACTGGCACCCTCATAATGTTCATGTCTTCATATTGTAAGTTTTGTCCATTTTGCAATTGGGTTCCCTTATTTCTCCGTTCCTGAGATCGCTAGCTCATTCACTTGCCAAGATATCAAAGAAAGATTGGTGCCTTCACAAGTTGCTGTCTGTCATCATGTGTGAAGTTATCTATTCCTTGTAGGGTTACAATGAGAGCATCTTGTGTCTTTTTTTTTTTATATTTCAAACGATGCCATGCTTGGTCTACCACTCATCATGTTTTATAGATGGGCATGGAGAGTTGGGCTCGTTGTTTTATTCTCGTGTCTGATATTGTTATCGCGTAGGTTATCCCTGCATATGTTTGTGTATGGGGTTGGAAGGTGCTGTTCTTCAAATTTTCAATTTTTTTTCTATTTATTCATTTTGTTTTATGAAAGTGAGATGTTTATATCTATGAATAGTAAAATTTGTATATTGTTTTACGGGAAAGGTTTCTATACTTCCCCTACAGCATAGAAGATCTATACTTCCCCTACCATCCAGCCATCCAATTTTGATAAAGAGAGCCAATCACCGTTTGATCTTTGATCCGACATCTCAAAGTATTTTATTTTTAGTTTTTTTCATACAAATTGTATGAATATGAAATTTGGTACTTGTCATCTTCTCATTAGGACGCACCTATAAAAAATATTAAAAATAATTTTTCGATAAAATATAATGACCAAAATACCCTTCGAAACTTTCAGGGGTATTTTGGTCATTTTATTTTATTGGATTTTTTTTTTTTATATTTTTCGCAATAGTGAGTTTAATAGAGGGTTGGGCATCCAAAATTTGGTGTCAAAATAGTTTATAGAAAAAAAATTAAAAATAGAATAGTGTAGAGACGTGACATTGTGATTGGGGCAATCTTAGCTCTCCATTCAGAATGGACGGTTGGATAAGGGGAAGTATTTAAGTTTTATGCTGTAGGGGAAGCATAGAAAGTTTCCCCTTGGTTACTATTTAGACTTCTATTGTCTCACATTGTGTTAGATGGTCTGCATGTTGAAATACATAAATGAGTATTCGAGTGTACAAACAAAAGAGGTGACTTTGTCAACAAAAAAAACAAAAGAGGTGGAAAAAAAAATTAACCCATTGACCTACACTTTAGTTATCTGGACCCAAAAGGATCCCCACTTTAACCTAGCTATTGAAAATGCTGCTGTTATATTTCAATCTTCAGGTTCTGGGACTAGTAGACATCTTCAGAGCTCGAGTTGTAGACGTTTCAGATGATTTGCTCACTATTGAGGTGCCAGAGCTCTCTTCTCTCTGATGTTCCCGTTTCATTATTTCAGAACCACTTTTTTTTCTCATGAAAATTATACACCAATCATTATGTGGCAACTTGTTCACAAAAACCTGTTTCTTGGAAGGGAATGTATAATATGCTTCAAATAGTATTATGGAGTGTGGGAAATCCATAGCCATTTGAGTCATCGACATCTCTGGATAATCGACAGTCACGGAGAGAAAGAGGGAACCCCCATTTGGACCCATATCCTGTTCTGGTGCATCTCACCACCTCTCCATCAGTGTGCATCATTTTAATGGATGTTGATAACCCAACGGTCCATGTTTTCCCATAGTCCATTGCTTTATTCTATGCTGAGTTACTAATCTTAGAAACTTGACATGGATAACATCTCTTATTTGTGTGCTCAAAACTTCAGGTGACTGGAGATCCAGGGAAGATTGTTGCAGTGGAAAGGATCTTAAGAAAGTTTGGAATCAGAGAGATTGCAAGAACTGGAAAGGTCATCCACATTAAATTTTGACAATTCTTTTGTGTGATATACTTCACATGTCTTACATAAGGCAAGCTTAAAGGTTATTGTGGTTCTTATAGATTGCTCTAAGAAGAGAGAAAATGGGTGCAACTGCCCCTTTCTGGAGATTCTCAGCTGCATCTTACCCAGATATTGAAGCCAGAATGCCAGCAGGGCGTTCTCTTGTAAAGAATTTGAGTGCAATTGGTGGCAGCTCAGACATGTCATCTGGGGTATGTCTTTTCCCTCTCTAAACTAACATAATATTTTCCATTTAAATTCCCTTCACATGCTTGTCTATTCAATAAAGGAGTTCACTCACACACACACACACACACACACACACATGCTCTTCCGCAGCAACATTTCAGATTGATTAACCAACTTTCCTTGATGAGCAAGTCTGTCATAATCCATGCTACATGAATTTCTAGTCCATTGTGGTGATCGCCATCCAATGAAATGATGGAAGGTGGAGAGAGAGTGGAATCCACATATCATGACTTTGCCCAAATGGTGGACCTTCCATCACTTCCATAGAATACTGATGATCCCATTTGATTATGGTTTTCCATTGTCCATTGGATTATAGTAAATTGTTCCATTATTAATTTTTGTACACAATGTTGAATTGTACTCATCGTGCAATTTCATTAAGTGCAGGGTGATGTTTATCCTGTGGATCCATATGATGAAGATGGAGATGTTTGGATGAATCAAGTTCTTGATGCACATTGGGGTATTCTTGATGATGAAGATGTAAGAATGTGGTGCACACTTACAAATATCAATCTTTATTGCCAAATTAGTTCCTTTTTTGTTCCTGATTTATGAATGTTGCAGTCTAGTGGCCTGCGATCTCACACTTTATCCCTCCTTGTAAACGATTGCCCTGGGGTTCTTAACATTGTGACTGGCTGTTTCTCTCGTCGAGGCTACAACATTCAGGTACATGTACTGAAAAATTTCCTTACATGCACACAAGCTCACATATCTTCATACAACTTCTCAGGTATCAAGTATGAAACATACATGTGAAGAAGTTCCATGCATATATCTCAGCTCATATATGCATATACACATACATGCATGCATGCATTCATAGGGTCATGGATAGCCATGTACATATATGCATGCTAGTTTCTAACTTTTATCTCACAATTTCATTTTAGGATGAGGAGAATACATGTAAAAGTTTCATACATTTACTTGAAATTCTCTTTATAATTGGTTTATGGCTCCACATATTCCTTGTCTTCTGTGACTGTAGTGTATACATGCATCTGTAGGTATCTACATATTATTCCAAGGCTTCACATACTATATGATGGCTCTTTAAGGTGATATACATTTGCTCTCTTCTCTTTATCTGAAAGACTGAAACTCATTTTTTTTGCTCTGTATGGTCAAGAGCCTTGCTGTTGGGCCATCAGAGAGGGAGGGGATCTCACGTATCATGACTGTTGTTCCTGCAACTGACGAGTCGATTAGCAAGCTGGTTAGACAATTGTATAAACTCATTGATGTGCATGAGGTGAATAAAACTTTTCCAATTTCTCATGATTTTCTTCTCTTATACCCTTTGGTACTCCTGAACCAACTTGTAACACTCACCATAAAAGGAAAATGAAAAACCAAAATTTAAATTCTTTTTCTTCCAGGTTCGGGATATCACCCATTTGCCCTTTGCTCAACGAGAATTGATGCTCATAAAGATTGCTGTGAACACTGCTGCTCGAAGAGAGGTGCTTGAGATTGCCAGTATTTTCCGAGCCAAAGCTGTTGACGTATCGGATCATACAATCACTCTTGAGGTAGATGCCATTTCTCCAGTCTGGATTCAATAGATTTTCTTCATTTGGCCTGTCAAGAATTTAAGATATTTCATTTAAAATGGATGTCATAAGTTTGTCAATTGAATGGATATAGATATTCTTAATAATCATTATTACTTTGTGTTACTTGTAGTAATGATTTATCTCTGGTAAAATTTTATATAAGGGCAGGTCTCTAAACAATTATATTAGGGCGCTCCTAAAAAATTTGCTAGAAGAGGTTGTTTCAATGCCCAAAAGTCCTCAAATTGATAATCTCAACCTCAAGATGTATGGACGTGGAAAAAAAAAAGGGATTTCAATTCCTGGAAATAGGGCATCTTCTAATTCATTTTTGGACCGTCAATTTTCAAGTGTTCATAGATCTGCTCGATCTACACTATTTTTGAAGCTTTAAATTTTATAATTAGAGATGGAAGTTAATTTTCAGGTCATCACAAAGATGTCTAGTATTGAAACAACATCTTTAGACACTATTTAAAGGCGCGCCTAACTTTGATGGTTTAGAGCCTCGGCCCTATACAAACCACGCCTTTTATCTATGGATATATATTATTAACTTAGTAATTGCTGTTTCTTTTTATTTGTACAGTACGTGCACATTTAAAAGTAGGCATGAATTCTGTGTTGTATAATTTATTCAGGGAATTGCCATGCACACTTTTTTTTTTAATTACACCTCCTACCACAAATATGATGATGATAAATAAAACATTGACTACTATAGCCACCCATTTTTTGTGAATGGGAACAGCACAAAAATGGTCGCCAATGGCATTCGTAATTTTTTGTTCTTGATGATGTCTGTGTTTTGCTTTCAGTGATGATGAATTTTACTTGGTATACGTTAGCTTTAATGTGGTGGTTAACACCACGAGCACCTGGTAATTGTTCATCTGGAATAAACGTTGGTGATGTATACCATGCATGATACACCATGCATTGTAGATTTCTCATCAAAGTGGTTGCTGCCATGCATGGTATAAAATCTTGTTAGTGTATTCTTCTTAATTCAATAACATCATGTTTTTATGTCATTCCATACTGTTTTTTTGTATCACTATAATTCGATCATGCATCGACGTGCCAGTTTGTAACTGTCCTTGAAAATACCAAACTGAATTATTCTGTTCACTTTGTGCAGCTCACAGGAGATCTTGGCAAATTGGTTGCTATACAGAGGCTATTGGAGCCTTACGGCATATGTGAGGTCTGTCTATTTTTTAAGAAAAAAGTTTATGTAATGTTGCATTAGAATTAAGGTTGCAGTAATCTACATTATTCATTTATTTGGATGGTTGGGATTAGATGTCATCTTAAAAGACATCCCACTTCTTGACATAGTCTTAAAAGACGTGTCAAATTTATACTATCCAATTAAAAAGGACGGTAGACATCGCAACCCTACTTCCACAGCTAACGTTGCCACCTTATATAATTCGCGCCCTTTTTTTGAAATTTTGATTTCAATTTATGCCAAAACCTTGTGGATTATAAATGGCACCTTGTGATCATGAGCTTTTAGTTCTCCATGAAATAGCTGGTTGGAGTTGAATCTCTAATAGCACCCATTTTCCATAGTTAGTTCTAGTGTTACACTACATTGACCTTCTGCTGGTTTCTTGTGTCGATACTGCTCTTCTCAAGGAGTGTATAAAAACAAAGTAGAACTTGTTCTTGGGTTCGAACCCCAGACTTACTGAAATGAGATCATGTGTACTACCTCTTACCTAGGCATTCTATTGTTTTTAAATTGTGAAAAATATAGTTATTTATGATGGGATTGTCTACAAAGAGACCATTTATCTTTTGTTCATGGAGGTCACAATCATTCTCACTCATTAGATGTCAAATTGAATGGTTTAGGGTAAGTCACGAAGTCCAAAAATTAGTTTTTTTGGAACTTTGTGTGTATTGAATGATGCTCTTACAACCCACCCATTTTGAAATTTAAGGGACAAATTTTAAGGGACAAGAATGATTGAAACCTCCATGTACAAAAGATAAATTAAGTCTTTGTAGACAATCCCATTTATAATTAAAAAAGGTGTCGTTTTGATGGAGAATTCAGAAATTAATTGTACATTTGTTATGCTGTATTATATTTCTGGGTAGGCGTGGCAATGGACCCGGACCCGACCCGGGACCTGAGGGTTAGACCTGATCTGGGTTCGGGTATGGGTCCAAAAATTGAACCTGGTTGGTCGTGTCCGAGTCCTAGTCCGGTATTTTTTTTTGTGTCCCAATATATAAAATGTATTTAAATATAGTTAAATATATAGATATTTTAATTTTTGGATCGGGTCCAATTGGGTTTGGGTTTGGGTTCGGGTTCGGGCTTGGATCCCGGTCTGGGTCCAGGTTCGGTTCTGGGTCTGGTAGATTCGGATCTAGTAGGGTCCAGGTCCCATATCATTTTTTCGGGTCCAGCCGGACCTGGATCCTGACCCGTTGCCACCCCTATTTCTGGGCTGAAACTAGACGTATATGACTTGTAAGCCACTGACACGAGTGTTGGTGTCCATGTAACGCTGCTTAGTTCTTGATGAATACTTTGATGTTAATTAGCCGTCAATAGTTTTTCATTGCTTTGCCTCACAGGTTGCGAGAACAGGCCGGATTGCTTTGGCTCGTGAATCAGGAGTAGATTCCAGATACCTTCGTGGATTTTCTATTCCTTTGTAATTGGGGATGAAATACAAAACATACTAAAGAGGTCTGTGTGCATGCTCATTCGTGTGCATGAGAGAGAGAGAGAGAGGGAGAGAGAGAGAGAGCACATATCTATGTATGCAGTGATGCTTTTGTAGTTTCTTGAGCACATATCTATTTATGCAGTGATGCTTTTGTAGTTTCTTGAATTGGTTTGGTAACTGTGTGCGATTCCTCAACAGAGATGTGTTTGAAACATCATTGGAAATTTGAATGGTTGTTGCATAGTAATGTTTCTATTGGTGGCTACTTTAACTGATATGTATTGCACCATCACCATCATCATTATTATCATCGTAAGAGCTTTTTCCCAAATAGTTGGGGCTGGCTACAAGAATCTTGGCTCGTCATTCTGCCCTAGTAAGGGCCATAAATTTTTATATATTTTTTCACTACTTCTAACTATGTCCTTTTGGGTCGATCTTTTGCTTTTTTTTGAGCCTTTCAATTGAATCAATTCGCACCTTCTAATAGGTGTTGTACTGGGTTTACGACGCACATAGCCAACCCACTTAAGTGTACTTTCTTTCATCTTATGATCTAGGTGCTGCACTTAAGTTCTCATGATTCTATTTATTTCGAATTCTATTCTTTCTTGTGTTGCGACTCATCTAATCTATCACACCAACATAATTATGGCATGCATGTTACTGTTCTGTATGTTGATTAAAATTTCTATTGTAGTTAATTACCTTGGTTAAATAAATGAGTTTTATATGATCATATTCGTATAATTCTTTTACCAATGTTCTTATTGGTAGCTTTGAGAAATATGATTTATTACATTGACTGACTTTAGAGGAGCCCTTCATGGTGAATGATATAGCTAGGAAAATTACTCAATTTGAATGAAGAAACTCAAAAGTTACAGTTAACATAACTGGAAAAAAAAAAAAATAGTAAAATTTTACATCTTTTCAAGAAAAAGTGAATGGACAGGAAAAACTAATGAACAGATGTTAATAGTGAAAAGCTGAGGAAGAGTAGAAGTATGCAAAAATCAAGAGTGTAGTGTCTTCAATGCTTTTTGTCTTCTTTGATGCAAAAAGTACGTGTCTTGAATGCTTTATGTCTTCTTTGATGCAAAAAGTAAGAGTCTTCAATGCTTTGTCGTCTTTGAGCGGAATCTTTTTTCAAAGATGTCCGCATATAATCTTGCTCATGATTTGTTTTGGCAGGCAAACTTATTTTGCTTGGCGAACCCATAAAATTTTTATCTGATGTGACACAAGATCTCCTAGGCAATTAACCTTTTTACCTCTGTTCTAGCAAGATTATCGATCAATAGTACTACCTAGTCTAGTTCATCTTGGCCTAACTGTTTGGCCTGAAATTATCTATAGTCCTTTTCTCTGACCTGTTTTAATCCTCTATATTTGTTGTAATGTTTCTTATTTTTAGATAAGTCATGTCGACAATATTGGGATTTGTCTTGTAGCATTTCTTGAATTATAGCTTCAACATTTGCTTTCTTGCTGATCTTATTTTCAAAAGAAATCCCATAAGTTAAATGATTTAATTGTTGGATTTTATTCCTTTAAGCATTATGAAAATTAACTTTTTAAATTTTGGGCTTCCAATTCAAGCTGATCAGGATTAGTTGTTAAATAGACCATCTTTGGTGATCATTCTCCATCTTCTATCAAATTTTCTTCATTACCAATTTTGGCCTTTATGGTTCTGAACATACTTGTTTGGGCTTAAGATTTTTCTTGGATAACCATTAATTGATTGTTCATTGGGGTTTGGCTGAACAATTTGCAATATAGGAAAAAGAGCAGTCGAAAAGAGAGAAGATGAAAAAGTTTCTGGACAGTGAAGGAGTTTTAGAGGAATTAAAGATACTGTAGAAAACCTAATATTAGATTTATCAGGATCTTTTAAAAAAAGTTTAAAATCTATTTTTCCTTTTGAAATTTTTTTGATTCTATTATAAAAAAGCCGCCAATATTACAGAGGAAAATAAACTCTTTGTAGTGAGATAATTTAACTTTGCAATAGGCAATATAGGAGGGAGAGGAAAAGAAAACTCTGTATAATAAATACTTTTACAATGAATAGGTTTTGGTGGGAGTACCAAAATTGTAGAAAACCTAACATTAGAATTATAAGGGTCTCTTGAAAATAATTTAAAATCTATTTTTCTTTATGAATTTTTTTGGATTTTATAGAAAAATTATCAGTATTTATAGGTGTACCTAATTCATATACACAAGTTGAGAAATAGACTCAACAATCTAATTTAGAACATACTGTAACATTATCGATTAACTGAAGGAAAAATTGTTTCATGTGGGCTGGGCCGCATTTTTACAATATGCGGTCCCATGGTATAAAGCATCCATCTTAAAGATGGATGCAAATAGGTGGTCCATCTGAAAACAATGGAAACTAACTGTTGAAATGTGTTTTTAATAGAATTATTATTTTTAATTTTTAAAATTTATTTATTTATTTGTATTCATGGTCTCTAGTTTAGAGAATACGTGTCGTTAAAAATTAAGTCCAAAAATCCATCTCAAAAATACATTTTTAAGAGGTCGACTAATTTCTACATGGACTCCTGTGCCCTTAATTGAAAAAACACACTTAGTCTCTATATTAGCATATAC